ACTGCTGGTATCGCGTGCAATGGTTGTCACAGTACGGTCTCACTTGTACTGCGTTTTCACGCGAACTCTGATTATCTTCGCAGCAGCAGCGGCATTTGGCTGGCCATCGAACAAAGACGGTCATGGCTTCGCGTGCTTTCAGATGCGCGTCTGCAGCCGTCTGGAACGCTCTTCTGATATTAGGAAACCACTGGAACTACGCACTTTTAAATCGTGCACATTGAAAACTAATTTCTTAGAGCTGCTTTTTGTGTTTAGTGTGTTGTCCTTACCCCACCCCTCCGATAAGCACGGTTGGATGTGTACAGTGCGAAAAAGTTAAACATACAAACATTCACTTACTCATGACATATATCCTGCTGTCGGTCCCTATCGTCTAAATCTGCATCCCTGGTTCACAGTTAAATTGAACTTGGCTTCATCACCATAGCCTACTTGGCGGCCAGTCTCCAATGTTTAGACACTCGTGGTGTTGGTCCAGTCCCCTCCAGATGTCAAAGCCCTCTGCTCTAAGATAGGACTTTCACATCTTGTCATCGGAACTGGAGAATTTAGCGAGACGACCTCCGGTACAACCCTGGCAACACACCTCAGTGCTTTGATCACTTTCCACACGAACATGGCAACACCACCCAGTGCTCCCACAGCCACACTGATGCCAACTACACTTAATGCTCATCCAGCTCTCGCACACGCACGTGGGCGCTGCGATGGCGAGATGTTAACTCCCTCGCCTAGTATACAGCAGAGCGTGGGTTTGATCCCGACCCTGACGCCTGCTGTATATTTGGAGTTTGCGTGTTCTCAGTTGTCCCGTGGATTTTTTCCGGTTTTTCTCTCCATATTTAGAAAAATGCGTTTCGAGTATTTGGCTGCTTTACTTTTCCACATGATAAACCAATTCATTTGGCTATCATTTGTAACCAAGTATCTTCTGAAAAGAGCTATATAGCTCAGTGGTCCTTACCTTGTGAAATAAAATAAAAAGCTTAGTAAATAGTACTCCCATTTTACCACCCACACACCCGGCACAAACTTCCCCCTCGGCGAAATACCCTGAGCTTCCTACCCACTCCTCACATCGAAATCACAAGACGCCCCCACCAGATCCAAAGTCAGAATCACTCTGCCTCACCAGCCATGTCTTGTTCATTTCAAAGTCACTTCTAAAATCGTGACCTCGTTCATGAGGGAACTGTTAACATCCTCGGTCTCGCTGAGATTTGGCACACACGTGAACGGGTATCTCTCGATCTACAACCGTCGGCTTCCAAAATTTCGCGTAAACGCAATTGACAAATTATGGGCACTTTTCGATATGCGAATTTTAAATTTCACTCCGGCCACGTGCCACGAGATCGTCAAACGAGAAGCCACCCAGGAGGCTGCATCGTTTCCCATCCGCGACAGCATCACCGTGTCCCTGCAGTGCAGCGGTAACACCTCCACATCGCCGCCTCTCCACTCATCCTAACGTGCAACGGGATCTTTTGGTGAATTCCCTGATAAGATGAATACATCTTCTTTAAAATTCGTTATTACTCAATCGTTTCCTTATTTTTGTTATTTATGATTATGTTTATATTGTTAAAAGTGATATAGGTGGTGTACATTCCTAGGTTCGGAGTAGAGTTGAAATGACTGCCTGAAACGCATTCCTAACTTTTAGTGTTACGTGACTGGGAATAGCGCAGTCCGAGTCGCGAAACTTCGTTGCACTCTCGCATGTTTTGAAGAACGCATGCCGTGCTTAAATCGTGGGATATCTGCACTGTCTTCAAGCACCCCAAGCATTCTTCCATTGGGCACTACAATAGCACGGTGGTGGTGCGGATGATCGTAGCCATCTCGAGACTTGGACCTCTTCCAGAACCACCTGGGCCCCTCTACTGCATATAGCCGCCCTCTCTGAACAACAAATTGGCCGTAGACTTGAGAGACAATGGAATAACTGGCCTTGACATTCACTACCAGATATGGAAGACGTGTATGAAGTTATACCATTCAGCTCGGGCAAGGCCCTGATCACAAATGGTGTTATGAACACAAATATCCCATTTCATCACTAACCTCCCTCCTGTGTCCCCAGAACACAGTTTATTTCACGATATATTTCAGTTACCAATGTGAATAAACTCGCCCCCTATTGCTCTGGAAAGCTCAAGGAATGGCATTCATTTAACTTTTTTTGTGTTTAGTTGTCCTTCCTCCGAACCTTAAATTATTAGCACGGTTGGCAGAAGAAGTTCTACATTGATACATATGTAGTGACTGACTTGCAGACTCAACTTCTTGGAGGCAATTATTTAATTAAACACCGAGCACACTTTGTACACTTTATACAATACACACCCTACACTGTTACACATTCTCTGTCTCTCGCTTATACGCAACTCTACACTGGTTGCAAGCCTACACACAACGCTAGCCGTCTGACACTGCTGAACTGAGACAGCCAACTACGCCTAGCAGCGCAATTATCAAGTGGAGACGACCGCGACGAAGGCCCGAGACGACAGCAGCGATTGCGACGATCTTCAACAGCAACGACGACGGGGATCCCACTCCAAAGCGTGGCCTCGCTCCGCCCCGGCCATCTGTAACCTACTAGCGGGCTCTCGGCATGTCCCTTCTGTAACCTTTCCCCTAGATCCCTCTCGGGTCTATCACGTGGCCTGCTGTCAATCAGGGCTGCTTCGAGCTGCAGATCTCCTTCCTTGCCAGCAGCCAGCGCTATGCTGCTTCGTGACCGATTCTATGTCACTACACATGAAATTTCGATTTAAAGCTTTCGTGACTGCAGGGATCCATCTTCTTGGTTCTTTCGGTAAAGTCACGTAGAAGGGAAGTAATAAAATAATAAAAATAAAACATTATGTTTTATTTATGTTTATTTATGTTTTATTTTTATTATTTTATTACTTCCCTTCTACGTGACTTTACCGAAAGAACCAAGAAGATACACATATGAACCTTATTGCGGGACCCAGGGGTCTCGAATAAACGGAAGTCAAAATCGTAATTAATTATTTTTTTGGCGACTCCGTCCCACCGCACACATCAACACCGTGACCCACCTGGCGCGGATCATTCTGTTGTCATGTCGTCCAAGCGCAGCGAGGACGAATGCGCAGAAGAGCTGAACAAGCAAATTCACTCCATGCTCGGGTATGGGCAGGATCATGAGTCTTATCCAAAGCTGCTCAAACTGCCTTCGCGACTTCTCATAATGGAATGCATAATACAGTGAAACTGCTCTCTTATCTTCATTATAGTTTGTGACCTACCAATGTCTGCAGCCAAGATCAATCGATGACAATCCTATTACCTGCAGATATTTAACAGATGAGATGCATTGCACCGTTAATTCCTCCTGTTTGATAATACTTCTTTTGTCCGTATGCATCTGTGCAGATAGGTTTTTTTTGCGGTTAAGCCATAGTCCCCACATACCGCTCGTATCAATGCGGATAAGAGGAGCGGGGACCCACTATTCTGTAGAGTAACATTTGTATAAACGTTTGTTACAATATGAACAGCGCATTGAAAACGCATACTATTTTATGTACTGCTTACAAAATGTGTTCACAAATACACACTGAGAAACACGATGATTGACAGAGGAGTGTAAATTATTTTTTTGATAGTGTATTTAAATAGAGGTACTGCAGGTTTTAAAGGCATAGTTTAACAAGACAAAACTTGCTGCCATCTTTAAAACCCATTGGTGAAAAATAGCTAAGTTTTGTTTACATTATAATATAATGTTTATGTTCGAGCTGGGGGCTTATGGGAACCCGGGGTCCCGCCATAAGGTTCATAAAAACATTGATTCTGGAGTTTGGTGATACATTCTGGCTGTCGCCTGATAAGGCTGAGTTTTAACTAATGATCGGCGAACGTCGAACTCGAATAGTAAATGTTGTGGTGTGTTTACTCTCCAACACTCAAGCGGGGTGCTGAATGAGGAACTCATTGGCACGTTTTGTTTACGTGCCAAACCTTACAAATTGGCTGTCGGGTGGTGGCGGGTTTAACGACACATTTAACCTAAAAAACGCATGGATAATGTTGGTCACGAAAGTCTATTGCGTGTTAAATCTCAAATTCCATTGCCAGCTAACCCGTAAGGGTGATCATCACACAGTACCAATACTCGAATCCCTCCATCAGCTCCCAATCCAATCTTGGATCAATTTTAAGATCACACCTCTCATCATCATCTTCAAGATCCTCCATGCACTCTCTCCTGACTGCCTCTCCCCTCTCATGGTATTCCCCTTCACGCTCCAGTCTGCTCCAGAAACCCAGACCTTCTTCCGCAGCCTTCAGTCGACCTTCACGGACGGAGAGAGATCTACCTCGCTCTCGCATCACCCCATCGCTGGAGATTCCTTCGCACCGTCATCCGTGTTCACTCTCTGCCCATCTTCAAGTGGAGGCTCAAAACCTTCCTCGACTCTGCCGATGAAAGACTGCTCCTAAATCAAAAATAAATACGCCTCTTTCCCAAGATGCCCAGATTACACTGTTTTGTTTAACGTATTGAGATGTGGTTGCATGTAGATGCGAAGTCCGAATTACATTGAACTGTAACTGTGTCATTCAATTAAAGCGTCATTCGATTACAGTACAGTGTGTTGATACCTCGGGTGGCACTGCACTTACAATCACGAATGCTTTCTTTAAGTTGCCTATGAGGTCGGTTTGAATATCAGTACAACAACATGTAAGGTCACCTCTGGAGAATGTTCAGCTCAGAGGTAAGCGGATCAGCCTTGAAAGGGCCTTGCCCGACCTCGCTCTGGGGTATTCGGGTGCCGGTGGTAGCTCCACCGTGCAGTTTTCTCTGGGTGAGACGGAGGGAGGAGGGGTTGGCTGTCCACGGTGAGACTGGGGGGATATTCCACTGCTGCGGTTGGGGCTTATTCGTTTCTGGGCTGCTCTGAGTGGCGTTGTTAATGAGATGTTGATGATGAGATGTTGCTGCTATTCGCTATGCTGAGGCTCAGAGGGACGACGCGGCGGAGGCGGCGTTGGAGGCTCTCTTTTCACAAAGAGCGCCTCGAAATGCGCATGCGTTTACTTTCATTATTTATTATTATTTAATCGCGCTCTGCATTGTGAAACGCGGTCTTGTACAACGGCCGTTGGGAAGGGTGGCTCGCGCTTTGCATTTTTCGATTTGTGTTGTTCCATTTGGCCGAACCTATTTGCGATTGAAGCTGCATTTGCTATTAAGGCACCGCGTAACAACCCTCACGCATTTCCCCACCAACCCTCCTCCACCACCAACCCTCCTCCACCACCATCCTCCTCCACCACCAACCCTCCTCCACCACCAACCCTCCTCCACCACCATCCTCCTCCACCACCAACCCTCCTCCACCACCAACCCGCCTCCACCACCATCCTCCTGCTCCTGCTGCTGGGTGCGTCCGGCGCGGCGCCGGCCGGGACGCGCTCAGGCGACAGCGGCGTTCGATCCCCCGGGTGCGATGGCCAGGCTGCTGCTGCTGGCAGCGTGAGTAGTATCCCCGCGCGGAGAGGCTGTTTGTTTGTTCATCGGGGACTTCATTAATTACTCATTAGTGGCGACCGGCAGCAGCAAACCTCATCCGTGATGCCGCCGCCTAGCAGCCCTGCGGACAGCTCCGCGCTTTGGGCGCCATCCCCCCCGGCTCTGCTTCGTCTTCTTCCCTGGCTCCTCGTTACTCTGCTGGCTCCAGGTCGGTTGTCGTTCGCGCTCCTTGAATGCAGTTGTTACTACACGCGCGCGCGTGTGTGGTTCTGGACCTCCCCTAGGTCGACTCAGCCTCAAACGAGTACCTGATGCGGTGTGTAAAATCATTGCCACTGGGGAGACAAAGGCGGCCCGGCGTGGTTCTGGCCACCCAACCCCTCGTGTTCCATGTCAGCCTTCATAGGTGCTCGCTAACAGCACTTGCCCCAACAAGTCTGTTAAGGCTACACGGGGGATCTTTGTCTTTTGTGGTGGGACACGGTCCCCTCTCGATGGTTTGCATCGCGACCGCTAGCGCTGCCTGCACCCCCTCGGTCTATCATCGGCGAGGGAAGAGCCTCCTGGTTCTCGCCGCTGTTTCACGGATTCCGTCTGCCTCGGCATTGTCCGTGCCCGTTGGAGGCGAGCGGGAAGCCAGGGGCAGCCACGGGGCGGAAGGGGGTCCGCGGTGGCCATGTCCGAGCCATGCTGACGGATAATTCCTCAACATCGCCATATATTCCTCGCAGCCAACAACCTAATTCATTATATATAAAACCATCGCCGTTATTAATAAGTATCGATTCTTTTTTTATCGCATATGCGGTATATAAAACCACTAAAACATTGTAATCGTGGTAAGCCACGTAACTTCACCTCCATTTCATCACTGAATTATTGGGTTATCATCGTAGCAACAACCGCAAGAAGCTTGAACAATCTCCACGATGATGTTGATGATGGAGACGCCACTTTGCATGCGAAAGGCGGCGGCCCGCTCGGCTGTTCCATTCATCACGGGCGGTGTGGCGCCTACAAAGTGGTGGTAGCCGACGTGGCCCACTGTGGCCCCTCAGGGTCATATCAGTTACAGATCGCCAATGACCGCATCGCCTGTACAGCTGAACAGGCTTGGGAGGCAGCGTTAGGGTTTGAGGAGGGGTGGCGCATTGGTTAGCGCGCTGGCACTCGGAGCTCACGACCACCAACACCACCAGTGACGATTATCTGAACCGGTCTTGGGCATCCCCTAGGTCGACTCAGCCTCAAAATGAGTACCCAGTGAGATTTGTAAAACATCGCCACCAGGGAGACAAAGGCGGCCGGGCGTGACTGCTGGCCATCCACCGCCTCGTGTCACACAGTGGCGGCCTTCAGAGGTGCTCGCTAACAGCACTCGACTCAGCTGTCTGCTCAAGGCTATACCGGGGATCTTTGTCTTTGCTGGATGGACGCACAACCACGCGCTCAGCAGGTGGTGGAGGCTGTGGGAAGTAAACGCGGTTGACAACAGACGCCGGTTCAGCGAAACCAATTGTTGTACTGCACTGCCACTCCACGTCCTCCCACGTCTTCGCCGACGCGGCGGAGGTACGGCTGCGAAGAGGCACGTGTCGCGAACACCTCGGCCCCACCTGTGGCCTGCCAAAGCATCGGCCACGCGCGTGGACATGCCGGGGGCTCCGTCGTGCGAACATCGGCCCGCTCTGATTGGCCTGCTCTGATTACTGATTGGCGGATTTGAACGGCAAAAAGCGCGAGGACATTGGGGAGTTGGAGGTGGGGGGGTGCAGAAGGATGAAGGGGGTTGGTAAGAGATGGGAGCAGGGGGGCGCTAGAAACCTCCGAGAAGGGACAGGAAGCAAGGGGAGACAAAGACGGTGCCCCACCTTGTTACGTCACAATGCCTTGCTGGAAACCCCGTCGTCGTAAATCGGGACCCTATTTTCCCCATACACGGTAGTAACATCACTTTGCCGATGTGGTTTTCCCCTTCTATCAGCTTTATTTAACAGAAACACACTTGAGAACAACAGAAGCTCGACACCAAGTCGCGTCAGAAACCTGGCCGACGTGTTCGGAAGAAGCGTCGTAAATAAAGTTTTTGCATCGTCGTAATTCGATCCATGGTCGCATTGTGTAAACGTCGTAAATATGGGCCGTCGTACAATTAAAAAAAACCGGAGACCGCTTGTGTAAAGCGGTGAGTGGGACATGAGCAAAGGGAGCCCTGTGGGTGTGTGTGTGTGCTTGTCAGAGGAACGTGAAGGTCGACTCGTGTGGATTGCGGTTACTCCTCCCTCGTGGCTAGGAGATGTTAACTGCCTCGCCTGGTATGCAGGAGGTCGTGGGTTTGATCCCGTCCCTGACGCCTGCTGCTGTATGTTGCGAGTTTGCGGTGTCTCTCTCCCCGTGGTCGTGTGGAATTATGTCCGGGTCCTCCGGGGTTTCCCTCCACATTTAGAATCGACACGCGTTTAGGATATTTGGCTGCGACTCTCCATGTCCACGTGACAAGTCACTTGGTTGAGCTATATCATTTGTGAGAGCTATTATAGCGCAGTGGGCCTATACCTTGTAAAATTAAAAATAAAAGTTTTAATAGTTCAAACGTTATATTCGGGAACCATCTGCATCCCTAAATACGTGAACAGGGGAGTCCTGCTAATATTTCGCTGTTTGTCCATTTGCTTCAATGGGTGCTTTGCCTCCGGGAGGCAACGGGAATGCTCAGATAAAGTCAAAGCAAGGGAATAAACGGTTCAACATCTGCCCAGATGGTTTCACGGTCAATTTGCTTAAAACTGTAATGCGGTTGTAAACGGCCCTTCTGAGGTGCCGTCAGGGGGGGAGGAGTTAGGTCACGTGGGGGGAGAGGGGTTGAGTATAGAAGGAGGGGAACCGGAAGAGCAGGGGGAGTGACGGGGAACCAGGAACAGAGGAAGGCCACGAAGGGCGAAGCGGGGTGTGGCGAGATCGCCACGAACACGGGGGGAGCGAGGATCGGCACCGTTGGCCAGCGGTGACCGACCCGAAGCAGCGAGGAGGCTGCAGTCAGCAGCGGGGCTGCACAGAGAGAGTGGGCAGCGGGTCTGCATACAGTGACAGCCAGAGGGTCTGCACATAGGGGTAGCAGCAAGTCTGCAGGGAGGAGGTTACAGTAGATGAAGCAGAGAGTCAGAGGGGTGAGGAAGCTATAATAGCAGTGAATAGCCGGGGGCTACAAATACAGGAGTTATAACAGAGTGCCGTGTGGGTAAAGACGTGAACCTGAATAAAGACACGAAGACAGAAAGAAGTGTTCGAGTCCTTTTATTACACTGGTGTCAGAAGTGAAACGGCATGGCGAAACAACTGAGGAAGAAGAATATCCCATCTCCGGCGTCGGCTTCATCATCGGACGACGACGATCTTCCTCCTGAGGTCGGCTTCACTTCGGCGGAGGGAGAGATCCGTGAGGGCCCGGGTGTGGAGGAGGTTGCCGCTGCGCCCGACCCATCTGCGTTGAAGGACGAAGATTTAAGATGGACCCGGATGGCGGAGCAACTGGCGACCCTAAAAACCGTCATCACGGAGTTGTGTGACCTTGTCACGCCAAGGGCGGCGTTGGAAGGTGATGGTGGTGATCGGCAGGAGCCCGGGTCGTCTTCGATGGCGCCGCCATCGACCACGCGGCGTGAAGACGCCATCTTGGGCGTGGCGCACCACGGAAGGCGGGAAGCCGCCATCTTGGGGCCGCCACGAAGATCGTCCGCCATCTTGGCGACACCGCGTTGCGACGCCTTGCTGAACTTGCCGCCGGAAGAGTCGGTGACGGACGGAAGCAGGCCAAGGAGCCGCAGTCGTCACCTTACAACTGTTAAGGAGTTCTCCATCGGGGGCGATTGGAGTGCGTTCGCTTGTCGATTTTTGGCGGCGGTACGAACGGCAAGGTGGACGGACGCCGAGGCGCTGGAGGTGCTTCCGACTCTCCTTGACGATGAGTCTGTTCGTTTTTTTCGCTCTATAAAAGCTGCGAAGAAGAAAACATTGCGTGGAGTGTTCGACGAAATGGCGGACGCGTACGAGCCACCGGATGACGCCCATCGCCGCTTCGTGCAGCGGCAACGCGCACCGGAGGAGTCGCCTGTAGCGTACAGGGGCGCCGTGCTGGAACTCGCGATGGCCGCTTACCCGGAGACGGAGCCTGACCTGCTGGAACCTCTCATCTTGGGGAAGATGTTGGAGTTATCCCGGGATCTGGGCATTCCTATGCCGGCTTGCGGTCACGAGAAACTCACGTCCCGGACCGCGGCTAAGTGTTTGGACGCCCAGTTCAATCTCCGCCGCTGGAAACAAGTCACGGCGTGGACGGGCGGTCCTGTCGTCGATGGGGGGGCCGTAGGGTGGGACCCTACAAAGGCCGTGTACGTGCCGGATGCGACCGGCCCAAAGGAGCTGTCGGCCGCCTCCACTCCGTGGCCGGCTCGAAGCGAGCCGGGGCCGCGGGCTCCGCCGCCGGCGCGGCCACGTCGGGACGGGGTGCCTGCTGCGCGCCGACCCGACGTCGACTGTTTCCGCTGCGGCCGTCGGGGCCACTATGCCAGGGACTGCTGGGCCCGGGTTCCGGGGCCGCCCCAGCAGGAGGCCTCGATCGCGGACGTCCCAAAGAAAGACCCTCCGGCACAGGCAAGTCGGTGCGCACCAGACACCCGGCAAGGCCTGACACCTCACTCATCGCCGTTGTTGTGCGACGCGGATGTTCTAAAATATGGGAGGCCAGTATCTGCGCCTTGTCGCTCGATAACGCAGTGGCGTAAGTTGGCTCGGCGGGTTGTCGCGGCCGCTACAGGTTCGTCCACTGTACCGGGGTCGATCCAAGGGGTGGACGTGCGTATTTTGGTGGATTCCGGGGCGTCCGCGACCATTATTTCGGATGTCATATTCCATCTTTTGAACATCCCACCGGGGGCCGTGAGGCCGGCTTACGCTTCCTGCATCGCTGCGAACGGGGGTAGTATGGGCATCGTGGGACAGGTGGACGCTAATATTTCTATCGGGGGGGTCTCGGCCTCGGGCGTTGTGTTAATTTCGAGGTCCCTGGCGGTTCCTTGCTTGTTGGGCACGGATTTTTTGGCTAAGATGCCCATTTTAATTAGAATCAATGAAAATTGCATTGAACTGCCAGGGGGCCGCAAATTGGCGTTTTTACAGTCCACCTGGGGGCGACCGGCTCCGGTTGCCCAG